ATCGAATTTTGAAAAGCACTCGCTCAGGCAATTAAACAAACAGTTGGTGGGCGTTTCAAACTCTGGCAAGGGTGGCCGAGAAACACAACATAGAAACTACCCAGGTTAATCTCTCCAATACATTTCTCATGAGAGAGAAATGATGAAATTTTGTAAAATCGGAGATTTCTTAAAACATATTACTTATAAGAGATATATTCACTCTATGAATGAGATGATTGAATTTGAATATTTAAGAGAGAGAAATAATAATTTATAAATTGTATCGAATATTTTAATAATATGATTAATTGTATAATTTTCAAAATAAAAAATTTGTTGAAGATAAAAACAATGTTCTTTTTTATGATTTTAAATTTTTACTTATCCATTTTAGATAATCTATTGGAGATGTTTTTCTAACAACAGGAATGTTCTTTTAAGATGACATAATATTAAGGGGTGTTTGGGATTGCTTATAAAAACAATCTATTGACTTATTCCGATATGACACCTGTAATAAGCATTTTTGAGTGTTGAGATAAACAATTTATACTGATGTCAAACCGGTAAAAAGAAATTTTTGAAAAATTTAAACAATTTTAACTTATAATAAGTTAATAAATACTTTTGTAGAAAAACATAAGTTATTTCAAATAAGCAATCCCAAACACCCCTAAAATGCATTAAAAGAATTTAACGTTGTTCTTATAAGACTCATAGTAACACATTCATAGATAGAAGAGAGAATTTATCAAATAAAATTTAGTTGAATGCATTTAGTTTGACTCACAACTTATTCAGTTAGTTATACATGACTGTTTAGTAATTATATTTGTCTTTCTCAATTAAAAAACACATTGCTTTCATTCATAGAAAGAATTTATCAAATAAAAATTTTTCCAATATATACAGACAGATAATTCCACATAAACAACTTTAATCAGATTAATTCACATAAATAAATAAATTATATATGATTTAATAAAAAAATTACCAAACAATTACTTAAAAATATGATGTTTAGTATCAATAAATTATAGCTATGTGGTGATTCAACCAATAATTTAATGAAAAGGGTATAGTTGTATGCCACAACCCACAATCACATTGTTTTGTTTAAAGAACATGTTATAAATATTTATAATAAAGAGTACCATCACACAAAATTGATTTCATGTTTGTTTTTTAGGTGTTAAAAGTCTGAAGTCTTATTTTACTTTTGATTTTTAAGAGGTGGTGTTGAAGTATGAAATTTGAATCAATAAAAGTGTTTGATTTTATAAACTGATAAATGTCTGAAATATGGATCAATAAAACTATTTCAAACTCTTTTTCTTTACATCAACATGTAAAAAATAACTAAACTTAACCACAAGGGTGGTGCACGATTGTTTGAGTTTGGACTCTAAAGGTCAAAATTGCCTTGGGGTCCATGTTCGAATCCAATAAGGATTAACTATTCTCTTTTGGCCACGGAGATTCAAATGTGGTGACTCCGGGCTACCCACGAAACGGGTGGTCGTCCTTGATTAGTCGACTCGCATAGTGAATTGAATATCTTGTTAATAAAAAAAAAAAACTAAACTGGACAGATACTCAAAATCAAAGTATATGATATTGATATGTACACAAGATCCAAAAAACGGGAGTGAATCAATTATCATGATGAATAGGTGTATCGGAAATCAATTATCATGCCAAACAATACCTTAATATAGAAATTAGTTTAGGAATAAAAATAGTAACAAATTGCAATTTATAAAACGAAAATCCCAATTCCTAAACCACAAGAATAAAAATCAAAACTATTAACAAACTACAAGGATTAAAATCGTAACTTACTCTAAAAAATATTAAAACTTTTAAAATAAAGGGAAAATTTCAGAAAAAATCTAACTTTTTTATTTTAAATAGTTTAGTTTTTAAATTTTTTAAAATAAAAAAACTATTAAATTTTATTATTTTAATAAAAAAATTATTAAACTTTTTATTTTGATTGATTAAGATTATAAATATTTTTTTAATAAATAAACCATTACATTTTTAAAATATGTTATCCAAATTATTTTATCCAAAAAAATTACATTCATAGACTAGTAAAAATTTGATAATTATTTTTTAAAAGAAATGTAAAGTTGTAAATCTTCAAAATGTAAAGGTTTAATAGTTTTTTATTTAAAAAAATAATTCAGGTATTTAATTATTTAAAATAGCGTTTTAATGATTTTTCATTAAAAATTAGTTTATAACCTAAATATTTTCGCTGCCTTTTTTTTAACTTTTCCCTAAAATTAACACCGAAAATTCAAATTTTAGACATAAAGAAGAATTCGGAATTGGAATTTGAATTTGAATTTGAATTTGAATTTATTAACCGATTATTTTACAAAAGAGGGCATATTATTAATTATTACTCAAACCCCGCAAATAATATCAGATGGTGAGGTTCTCTTGAACAGATGCAAAAGAACCGACGATGCTGCCACCGACATCTGGAAAATTTGGACAGCCAGGGAGAGGTTTGACATGCCCTTTCCGATCAACCTCCACCGGATACTTGAGCAAATGTGCCGTCATATCTGTTACCTTATCGGCGGTATACTGTTCCCAGTTCTGTTCACCCACCAACCTCACCCTTCTCACACACTCCACGCTCTCCGGCTGCCAAAAACTGCTCTCAATTTCTCCCATATGCTCTGCCCAAAGTGACATCCTGTATCCATATATCTACAAAAAAATCCATTTCAAACTTACATAAATATGAACCTTTTTGGATTGTTTGTATCGCCGAATTGGATTTATAAAAGAATATGGGGTTGTTAGTTAAGCTATAACACGGACTAGGAGTATATTTGTGTAAGCTAACTAGACTCGGGGTTGTTGGATGGCACCATATGGCGCGGTCGAGGGAGCCACCCTAAAACCTCCACGGATTTTATGATTGGTGTTTGGGAAAATGAACATTCTGAATGTTCTAGGGACTGCTTGGTTGGTTTTCCATCAAGTCCTGTATGGATAAAACTATCTGTGTGGATTAATCTGTTTGTATAGATTGAAAATGTTTTTGTTTGAGATAACTTTTTCATAGATGAAATGAGCTTGTTTTTAATTGGAAGAGACGTGTTTGGAAAAAAAATTGGCTTCCCGCATGAAACTTCCTCTAAAAGCTTACTGTCTATATCATTAAGTCACTACCAAACAGTCATGTATAGCTGATCGAATAACTGCAAGTCCCATTAAGCTCGTTAAGCTGTTAACAAACAAGTCCTAAATGAAATTCAAAAGCCTTTTGAAGTCTCTAAGCTTTCGATTCTGAACCGGTTTTTACTCCAGGACTTTTGACTTTGACGAGTCAGAGCTTCTGATTATGAACCGGTTTTTACTCGAAGACTTTTGACTTTGAGGAGCTTTGGACTTAGAAGAGCTTTTGATTCTAAAAGTTGGCTTCTGAACCGTGTAAGCAAACTACTGTCCACTAATTCCTCTGGTTATCATTTCCATTTAATGTAGGAGCGATTACGATTCTTTAAGTTTAAAAGGAAACGATTTCTGCCAAAATCGTGATTGAAAATCTGAGATTATCCTTGACTCTGACTCACTTTCATGATCCCCTCGTAGATTTGGATCGGAATATAAATGGAGCGATACAACTTTAAGATCTCACGCAATCTCAGTGTTATCCAGGCTATTTTATACTCACGTTTTCTCTATATTTTGTCAAAATCCTCAGACAGGCACAGTTTGTACTTTGTAGAAAGACAATTCAAACGAATTAACATGAAATTCGTCATCTTTAAGAGAGAAAGGAGGTGACTTTATCAAAAGTTGTTGCAAATGCTACAAATAGATGAATATTTGTGACAAAAAGATCAAAAAAAAGGTATAAATTTGATGAGTTACCTGTCCAGTTGGAGTAGAACCTTTATGAGCCCAAGTGTGATGAGGCTGATATGCACCCATTGCAATTTCAGTATCTCGGGTACCTTCCAATGAACGTTGATTGATATTTGCAGAACCCAATATCACAAACTCATCATCAACTATCATTCCTTTTGAATTCACATGGATCATAAAACGTCTGCTTGTTATACTAAGTGCCTATCAGAAGGATATTATCATGTCAGAAAATCAAGAAAATTGAAAAGAAAATCTTGGTTTTTAGGGAAAAAGGGTGTACTTGGGGTGTATTCGGAGAAAACGGAAGTTTTCCCTTTGAAGTTGGCGCTACGTCGTGGGATGTCTCACGAGTGCCAAGGCAGAAAAAGTTCAAGTAGTCTTGTGGCTCGTATTCATTTTCGAGACCTGTTTCTTGTAAAGCCGTGTAAATAACTTCATACATCATTTGCATTGTGTTATGCTGCATAAAGATTTTGTTTCAGTAACGAGTTTTGATGGTTATTAGATATCATCTCAAAGATTTGAATCAACCTGCCAAACGAGAATACGTTGGGTAGCAGAATTCGTTGGATTGCCCTCCGGCCACATAGGAATCACAATATATGCAGCAAACCTCTCATTTGCTCGGATCTTATTCGCAATTTTAAGAGCGATTTCCATTGGTATCAAATTGTTTGCACCTGCAAAACACAGTTATAATAAGTTCGTAACTTTAGATTACTCTCGGTTCAAGTGATCATTTATTTGATCTATATCATAAAAGGATTAGATTTCCTTACCTAAGCTTTTATGGTTAGCCCAGTTATATGAAGAACCAAGGAAGTACTGATTTTCAATATAAATGAAATGCTGAGCAGCACGAATCGCATTCACATATGCAGTATGTATACTCATGTCTATGAGCACGTTTTTCCCACATATTAGATTCTGTTACAAGGTAACGAGAATATGAACTACTGGTTTCCGAAACATATGCATGAAACCTGAAGTCAAGAACTATCGTACCTTGCTTTTAGCATCTTTTAGGTCTTTCGGGAAACCTTTAACAGAGTTGGAATCAATTGAACGAAAAATCTACACATAGAAGATGGGTAAGAAAGTTGATATAGCCTGGACATCAAGAAAGTTGGAATCTATTGAACGGTTTTATTGACTCGAGATACCTGGACATGCCAACCCTCTGGATCTTTCGCGCTTGTGTAAAGAGCATCCGTGCTGCCTAAAATGTCTGGAATTTTATCAAGTTTAAGTAACACGTCAGAAAATTTGGTCATTTTTGAAAGGCCTCGGGGCTTTGAAGCCCTCAACCATCGCTCCTCGAAATTTTGGAGTACATCATATGCTGCTGGACCTTCAATTCGGCAGTGCAAATCATGCCATGGTTCTCTTGGACAACCAGCTGTAGGCCCCTGGTGATGATAAGACATTGATCACATTCAAGAAGGTACAATACAAAGAACCTTCTTTTTCCCCTTGAGACCAAATCAAGAAACGACGAAATCTTCACATAATAGAATGCTTACTGTATAGTTAGGATTGTGATAATCATCTTTGTGCAGCGTCTGCGATGTGCTAAAGAGAGAATGTTCCGGAGTATCATAACGCCCGACGCATAGGTCAAGACCTCCAACAAATGCCATAATCCTTCTTTTGATACCAGCATCGGCATCCACTATAACAGTTTTCTGATTATGGGTATAGATGGTTTCAGCATCCTGTAAACGAAAAACCAAATTCAGCCACCCACCAAAGATCTTAATCTGGAAAGGCATCTTGATCAAGGCCCTCATAGGGGATGTTTGGTTAGTGTTCCATTAAGTCCTGTATGGATAAAGTTGTCTCTGTGGATTAATATGCCTGTATAGATAGAAGAAGTTTTTGTTTGGGAAATTTTTTTCATAGATGAAATGAGAGTTTTTCTAATTGGGAGGGGCATGTTTCGGAAAAACTTGGTTTTCTGCATAAAGCTCCCCCTAGAAACTTACTGAATAAGGAACTTTCTATATCATTAAGCCGCTTCCAAACATTTATGTATTGCTGAGCGAATAAGCTATGAGTCTCATTAAGCTCATTAATCTCCTAACGAACAGGCCCTAGTTAAATACCCAAAAAGGTTTCAGGGGAACAAAGATTTCATCAAAGAGTTTAATTGAATCCAACCTTCTTGGCCCAGCTACTCTTTGCTATTGAACGAGGACACAGTAATACTTGCACGGATGAATTCTTGAAGAAGACCCGAGTTTCTTCATCATGAGTTTGCATAACCCCTTCCTACATGTACAGAAAGAAACGGTTATTTCCGGATCGTTAACATAAATCAAAAAGGAAAACAAACTTCACGAGTTCACAATACCTACCGTCTTATATCCAAAAATGCTCTTTGAAGTAGGATCATCCCATACAAGGAGCAGCACTCTCACACCTTCCTCTGCCTTGCTTTTAAGAAGCTCTCCCAAAATGCTATCTCGTGCCTTTGGGCCATAGCGGACAAGCTGAACTTTGTGGAAGATAGACCACCCAGTGATATAAATCAATCGGCGTGCCTGCCTGATGGCATCACAAATATCGCGCCAGCAATCTCCTTGGACATACTTTAAACCGCGATCAAGTTTCAAAATTGGGAGGCTACCATCAACATGAGCATCTTGATAAAGGGTAACTTTTCCTCCCCTCCTAAGCGGAAAATAGGTTCCTGGAACGCCTTTAAACTCTGGACCCGACCACACTCCATTACGGGAAAGGACCACTTTATCCACCGGTGTATACTCGATTGATAGAGCTAATACAGCACCAGGTTTACACGGTTGACCACTTGCATTTAGAATAGGGAAAGTACCCTTAACTACAGCATTAGCGACCAACTGTGCTGCAGGAATCCCGACTGCGCCTATAAGTTGAGAACCCAAGACATCACTGTCTTTAACAACAAATAGCACTTCGGTAGTATGATGTGCCACTGGAACGCAGAAACGCTGCATCCAAACAGGGTTCTCACTGTTGTTTAACACAAAAGTTCTTCCAATTACAGCATTAGCTACAGATATTGTCACATAAGGATCACTTGTACCCGAAAGAGGGCTGAACTTCTTATTTAATGCATCCAAATTGGGAAGATTGTTGGCCTCTTTCACCGTTATATCTAAGTTACCATGAAGCAACATAACTTTTAGAGGACCCTCGGACGTCCATGGAACAACCTCTACACCTTGCGGATGCCGTGATCCTTCATCAGTTAAAGCAGCCATCTTAATGAGTTAATGGAGTAAATAAAACCGCTCTCCCCTCCGACAATACTCGTACTTCAATCTTGGGAGACACCCACTTCCCAGATATCGAATTTTGAAAAGCACTCGCTCAGGCAATTAAACAAACAGTTGGTGGGCGTTTCAAACTCTGGCAAGGGTGGCCGAGAAACACAACATAGAAGCTACCCAGGTGAAAAGACTGGTTTAAAGAGTGCTCCAATGAATTGATCTAGGAAAAGAGTCCAAATTGAGATAATGGTTGGTTGATTTTGTGCGTTTATATAGAAGAAATTGGTGAATAAAAGAACAATGATATTTGAATTATGTTGTCTGCAATGCATGTTAACCATAAAGAATCTTCAAGTGATTCGGCAGAACAATCAAATTCGCAAGACTTCAAGGCGAAACAGAATAAAAATATAGAGAATTAATTCAATCCATAATGCAGACTGCGACGTCGTCATTAACAAGAATGTGCGAGAAATTGGAATTTTCTTGGCAATTTGAATCGAATTTACGGTGTTTATTCTTGATAATATCACTGGAAATGCAAAGAAGCAGCATGTGGGCAGTGGCCATTGGGCATCCAAATGCAAACAAGGTTTTTATTGGGCATTGACAATGGCGCTAAAAAAGTTAAGTTGAATGACAGACAACCCACCAAAGTACAAAAACGAGAATTCCTTGAAGAAACGTCAACTGTCCTTTCACTCTCGTCCTTAAAGAAAGGGATTCTTTACAAAAGTTATTATATTTTTTTTAATTTCATTTTTTAAGTTTTTATTTGGATAAAATTATTCGTTCGAAAGACTCAAGATCAATGGCTTTTACGGACCAATAAGAGATGGTTAGATTATTTGTCGTAAAAATCTTTCCGACTTGGCTAACAAATCAAATGAAAACCTAGATTTTTTTTAAGAACCGTGAAAATGAGTGATTGGTTGGTTGGTTTTCTATTAAGTCATGTATAAATAAAATTGTCATTGTGAATTTATATGTCTATATAAATTGAGAAGTTTTTTATTTAAGAGAGTTTTTTCATAAATGAAAGAAACATTTTTTTCTAATTAGAAGAGACATGTATGAAAAGAACTTTGTTAACTACATAAACCAACTTACTGAATAAGCCATTAAATAATCATATATAGCTAGTTAAACAAGTTATAAAACATATCAAACTCATTAAACATATAACAAACAGATTTTCAATTTCAAATATAAAATACAAAAAGTTTGACAAAAAAAAAATGGCTTACTCTTAATGGTTTATTAAACTCTTCCTTAACCATTCAACGTTCTAATTTCATTGTAAATAATTATCAAACAATTATATTTTATTTTACACTATATCATGAGAGTCTCTTAATCATTTGACTCCATTGAACAATAATATGTTCTCGTACAAATTCTATATATTTTTTTTGGTTTGTTTTTAATAAAAAATCGTAATATTATCTAATTTTTTATAAAAAGTATTTTGAAATTATATTTATTTATTATTGTAATAATTAAAAACTATATATACCTAATGAACCAATAATAAATAATTATTTAAATATAATAAGAGAGGTGTTTTGCAATTTTCATCAACCAAAGGAGGAATGATTATTTAATTTACCAAAGAGTTTATTTTAGGCATCTTTACACAAGATCCCATATATGAACTTGATTAGTCATTTTTGTATAAACTTGATTCCATATATGCATATGTATGTATATACATATAGAGTTTGTTTCAAATGCAATCAATCGTATTTGTACAACCAATACAACCTAATAAATTGAAATATTTATGGAAATGATGAGAGTTCATTTATTATGGAAGATGAATATGGTTCATTAATTATGATTAATATTTTATATTAAGAAACAATCAGAACTTCTATGAAATTACATATTCATCAAATTAAATGAACGGTTGAGATTAAGTTGTATTGGTTGTACAAATATAAAGGGTTGTATAATAACACACCTCTATACAACAAAATCCATTCAAAAGTTGGGTCTAGGTGGATGTATGCAAGTTGTGCTCTATATCCCAGAAGGCAAAACAAATGTTTTTTCCATGATAGTGATTTGATGGCTATTGTAACGTCTTAAACCCAATGTATTGAACTAACTAACAACGTCAACTTTAGTTTAAAATCATGATAAAAGTTATTGGTAGTACAAAACTTTGAGCTGAGCTGAACTCACCAATCTATCTTTTGTCTATTCATTTTATCTTACAAGCCGTGCATGTGTCTAATTGCAAAAAGCAACCCTCCACTGCAAGAAAATTAAAGTTCGAGAAATGATAAAAGAATCAATGATTATGATAGATGATATTAAAGAGAAAATGTGTTAGAAAATTGATCATATATGCATCGTTACAACTTGTTTACCCCCAATCTTTTTGGTCACCATATGACACCTAATATTGTATATATCAACATATACTTATAGACCGATTGAATGTATATAATCGGTTTTGGATTTCAGAAAAAAACACATGGCCAGATTTCTTCTATCGTTTGCGCTTTGATTTGAGAGCAGTCATAGAATTGGAGTTGCTATGCCAGTTTCGCTTCCTTTGATTGATAAACCAGTTGTTAATTTGCTTCAGTTGTAACCCCGTCTCCTCCACCAGTTTCGCCTTGTCGTCTTCCTGAGAATTATAATACGAATTAATTTAAATACCGATATAATTAAAAAAAATACACATTTTACGTATAAAAAGTACAAATGATTAATTAATTAATTACGGTTGGATAAGGCCATTTGGAATGTTGTTGCCACCAATCTTTCAGCACAGAAGTAGTGTCACCAGGTAATTTTCCTGCCCTTCGCTTTCGCAGTATTTCCTCTCTCACGTCCTCAATTTTCGATCTAAATCCCTGCAATACATAGGGTATGGTTGTTAGCAGCTTAATGAGTTTAACGAGATTCACATCTTATTCAGTCGGCTATAAATGACTGTATGGTAGTGTCTTAATGATATAAAAAGCGGCTTATTCAGTAACCTTATGGTGGGAGCTTTATGTAGAAAGACAATTTTTTCAAATCCTTCCCCTTCCTATTAAAACCCACTCTTCTTTCGTCTAAGAAATGACCCTCCCAAACAAAAACATTTCCAATTATATACAAACGGATTAATCCACATATATAATTTTATCCATACAGATTTTAATGGAAAATCAACCATATGACCCCATATTATTGGATGGGATGACAAATGTACATATAACAAGGATCAATACTATCAGTGAAAATATACCAGTTTTGCTTATAATAAATATAAGGGGTTGAATCGATCAGCAATCAACGTAGCCAACACTGTCAAATGATTATCAATGGAATCAGGTACACAGTTTCTTTTACTTTATATTTCATATTGAACTGATTGAGTTTATTTATTATATATTTATGATTTTACATGCAATAAGTAAATTAAATCAGTTCAACATGATATAACATAATATTAATTCTAAGACAACAACTTTTTGTTAATTTTTTGTACTGTGAGAATATGTAAAACTCCATTAAATTACTCTTTAAAAAGGTTATTGAACAGGGAAATGAAGTTCTAAGCATGCATACATGATACGAGACTCTAACAGAAAATTAATTGATAAGTAAGTAAGAAAGATGGAACAAAAACCTGTTTAAGTTCGATTTTGAGTTCTTGACGGACTCGCTCCATAAGAGAGCGTTCAGATTCCGTAGGAAGAAGAGGACCGAAACCCATCATATCATGACTACCGTCGATACCACCCGATTGATCCAATGAAAAATCCATCGGCATCTCATCCTCATCATCCGACATCGTGGCTCCCGACCCCTCTCCAAGCGTTACTCCTAACAACCAAAAATATAAAAATTGCAAAAAAAAAAAAAAAAAAATCACCATAACCCGTAATACATAAGGTACAAGTCAGTATAGCACTAAAAATCTCATAAAAAATAAAAATGGAAATAAATAGTGGAATTTAGTGCGCAGGGATGGATAGTACAAGTCAGTGATGCAGAGGAAGATGGAAATTTTGGTTTATATAAAGTGGATATGTAGTTTCGTATTCAAGATTCTGACAAATTTTAGTACAAAAGAATCAGAAAAATAATATTTTATTACATTTAATTGGAAAAAAATAATAATATTTTGTTACATTTAATCAGAAAAATAATATTTTGTTACTATTTTCGGAAACACTTTTAAAGGTACGAAGCTTAGGAACCACTGCATGCATTGTACATTTGTACTTCACCCAATAATTTATTTGTTTTCACTTCTTTTTACACGGTACGGTTACCATGCAACAACATAAGGTTTATATATGAAATATCTTAATTAATTTATATAATTTATAGGGAGATTTATGTGAGACGAACTTGCTTTTGTAAAACCCTGAGATCATAAAATAACATTGAAACTTTATATTACAATATTGTGAAGGTACAAAAAATATTAAACTTTCACAAGAAAAACACTGTGAATGTTTACTTTAATGGTGTTTTGTTGTAAAAATTTATTATCATTTATGTAGTTTCACGGGTCTCATAAAAACAACTGCTAATATATATATATATATATATATATATATATATATATATAAACAAAAAGGAAAGAAAACAACTTCTCGAATACAAACCAAGGAGCCAAAAAAGATAGCAAAAAACCCAAACAAAAGACTATCATCACGACTCACGAGAGACCAACTAATTTTCAGAATATTATTTTGTATTAATTTAATTAACAAAATGTTGTTATTTTATATGTGCATTTTAAACCACTTATATTTCTTCATAGTTTACATTATACTATTAAACATGCTATTAATTAAATTAACTATATAGTGTTCCAAGAATAATGTTAAAAAATGAAAAGGAAAAATGTGATGTGGTTAAAACCTAAATTCTAAGATTTAAATCGAAAATAAAAATCAAGGGGTGTTGTGAGTTGCTTATTAAAAACAACTTATACGGTGGTAAATTGAAGTTTTATAAACAGTGTTTGGATTAACTTATTGCGATACTACACCGGATAAGTTGATAAAATATATGAGATACTCTTTTCTTTTCTCATCCAAACACTAAAAACTCTTTATTACTGGTATCACACCGGAAAAAGTTAATAAGTTAGAAAGAAGTAACTTATTAGAAACTCTTTTTTACCTGTTGCCAAACCAGTATAAACTTCTTATTACTGGTATCACACCGAAATAAGTTAATAACACTTTAAATAAACAATCTCAAACACCCCCTAAGATTGATTTGCAAGAGACCGAATATTTATTCTATCACATACATATTAAAAACTACGAGTCTAGATGTTGATAAGACCAACAATATCTAATAACCTAAATTATTTTGAAGATATAATAATTTTGGAACAAATTTGTAAAATTAAAACTTAAATTGTTTATTTTGTCGGCTTGTAATTAAAATTCTAAAAAAAATAAAGAAATGGGAAAAAAGAAAAAAGAAAAAAGAAAGTCATAAATATATTCTACTTTGGCAACAAATTAATATTCCTAAGACTAAACCCTACATCACAAACCAATACCCAACAAACATAAAATATTTTTTTATTTTTATTTTTATTTTATTCTAATTTATCTGCTTAAAAAGTAATTCAAAAAAATATAATCTGTTAGGTGGTGTTGGTTTTGTTGTCACTCTTTGTTCCCTTCATCAAACCAACTAACTCAACCTTCCTTCTACTCCTAACTATAAATTCTCAATATATAAATATAAATTAAAAATAATAAATTGATTATCTCTAACAGCCCCACATTACACCCACCTTATATCCCCAATTCTATTTTCTTCTTCCTCCTTTTGATTTTTGGCTTTTTTTCCATATATTTTGGTTTGAAATTATTAATCTGGAAATTCATATACTTTTTCAAATCGGAAATTCATCAACATCTTGAAACAAGTTCATTCCAGAACCCAAATCAAACAAACACCACAAGTAGAACATATGCATATGGATGTATTAATGTCTGTGTGTGTATATATGTGTATATATATATATATAGAGAGAGAGAGAGAGATGTGTAGTTATAGAGAGAGAGAGAGGGTTGATTACCAGTGAGAGCTTGTAAGTTGTGCTCGATTTCACGGCAGGCCATGACAGCTTCAACAGCATGAACTCTGACATGTTGTTGGAGCTGTTCTTTAAACGAACATAGAACTAACAAATACTGTGCCTGTTCATTCAATTAATTCATCGCCAAAAACATAAAAATATAATATTTATGTTAAATAATCCACAATTTATATATATATATACTTCCATGAAAGATATAATCAAGAAATCTTGGATAAGAAATATATATACCAAGAAGTTATCGAGGTCTTGGCGATCATGTGGAGAGAGAGGTTGGTTATGGTGGTCGGCGGCGATGTAGGAGCGGAGGAGGTGGTGGGACTGAGAAAGTTGGGCGTCGATGAGCGGCAGCTGATCAATCGGGGTGGCGACACGGAGGCAGGCAACATGAGCTGAGAGAAGCTGTTCATAGAGTGGGTGGTTGGCTATCTCCGCCTTCAGCTGTCGGTTTTGATCGCCGGAAAGTGATACAGACATATCAGTAAACCCACCACCAATCCCTCCACCACCACCCATCATCCCTAATCCTTGCTCTTGCATTGTATTCTTCTCTCTCTCTCTCTAAAATTCTCTCTCTAGAATATGTATTTGTAGGACTGGATTGAGATCATGTGAACAAAAGGGTTTGCTAAGAAGGCAAAAACAAGTTGTGGGGTTAAGGAAAGAGGACCACTTGTACTTTGGAGAGAGCTAGCTGGCTGGCTATCTATGGCAGTCTTTCTCTCTCCCAATCCCAGAGAGAGAGAGAGAGAAAAGGAGATTATGATTACAGATCTTTTGCAAGAGAGAGATGGCCTTATTGGGATCAGAGACAAGAAAACTTTCTGGACCAGTTCTGTGAATTCACAGATTTAAGCATAAAAAGGATCTCTCTCCCTCTTTCTCTTTCTGTTTCTAAAGAGATTCTCAGGGTTAGATGATGATGATGATGATGAACAGAGAAAAAAGAAAGAAACCCACAGCAGATACACAGATAAAGTTTTAATCTTTCTTTTTGGTTTTTGTTTTTTATATCAATCTTTTTTCATTTATTTATTTATTTATTTGTTTATGTGACTTGATCAAGAAAAAGAAAGAGAAACAGAATACTTGTCAAATAGAAGGATAATTACCCTCATAAAGATGTGCATATGGGACCTTAATATTTGTTGTTGATAAATTAAAATTAAAATTAAAATCTGTAACCACCATTCATTTTATTATAATTTTTAATTTTTTTAATTGCTAATGCTATAATTTAAAATAAATAAAACGTGTATCATTGTCTTTCCATAAGAAAATTAGCAATAACATTAATTAATTAATTAATAATAGCTCATATTTTAATTTTGGTTTCATGTCTTAGTTAAGTTAATTTTCCTTTGGATAAAAATATATGTATTGTTACATTTCTTATGTACCAATTATATGAATACACATCGTCAAAAAAAGAATGTGGACTTGAATAAAACATATATAAAAATATGATTTATCTTCAGTTCATTTGTTGGATAGGAATGAGAAGCGTGATTTTGGGACAACAGATTTTTATCTATTACTTTTGATCTAAAGTCAAAAAAATATATATATAAGTTTATATGTCTTAATTAAGAGATATTTGATAGTGGGTAGTAAAAACGTCTGACAATTAATAAACGACTTAAATATATTATAGTTAAAGTTGTTTGGTTGGTTTTCATTAAGTCGTATATTTGTAAAGTTGTATGTGTGGATTAATCTGTCTGTACAAATCAAGATGATTTTTGTTTGAAAAAGTTTTTTTATAGATAAAATGAACGTGTTTTTTAATTAAGAGATGGATATTTGGAAAAATCTTAGAAAAATTTACTAAATAAACTACTTTCTATATTATTAAATATATTTTTTTTTGCATATTTTTACTTTATTTTGGAAAATTACTTCCATTTTATAGGTATTTTTATGAATGATTTACTTCCACATTTCTAAAAATACTTTTTTCTATCTCAATTTGTTTTCCATTTCCTATTTTGATATATATTTTGTCTTTTTATCAGTAATCAATTGGTATCTGATAATCATGTTCATATTTAATGTTTTCATTCTACAAACGAATATATGTAAACCCAAAATAATTACTTAAAAGAGGTCGAAGTTTCATCATCCATCAAACTTTGTGGTGAAAAGCTATTTCACGCTTCATTGATTTTCTATTTCGAGCTTGATGTGGTCGTTCTGCTTTTACCTAATCGATTAATCATGAACCAGATGTCTAAATTGTTTTTCTTTTTCGAGTTTCTCACGTGATTTCTTACGATTGATTAATCAGTGACTCCGTTCATTTAATTCTTTCATGTGAAAATAACTCTTTATTACTCCGTTCATTTAATTCTTTCAATTTTATTGAATTGAAACTCAAAAGCTGGTATTTTCTAAATAATGCGATCGCAACGATGTTTGTAAAAGCAATTAAAACCGAGTAAATTTGATCGAACAGATTATAAAAGAAATAAATGCAAGTTGTTAATAAATAATTAAATTTATTATTAAAATACAAATATTTTTTTGGTTCATGATTTTAATTAATATTAAAAAGAATTAAAAATGTGAAATTGAAGGGTAGTCGTATAATTAAGGAAGTTGGCGGAGGGTTGAGCTGTCACATTGCGCCTCTATGGTTGGTGCCTTTTATTCCCACATATTTTTTCCAACTTTTTTCTTCTCTACGTTATCCATAAAACGTTTTTTATTTATTTATATTAATTAAATCAAATATTAAAATAAATAGTAAATACTATATATCGTTTGATAACCTTAAAACTTGATGAATTAAGGGTGTTCAAGGGTTGAGTTGATCGAGTTGAAGACATTTCAATAACTCAACACAATGTTTATGGTTTAAAAAACTTGAACTCAATCCAAACCCTACGTGTTGGTCGGGTTTGTTTGGTTGATATACTTTGGTACATCAAAGTATTATTTGAATCCTGAATATGTTGTTTTTCTCTACTCATAATTCATTTTTCATTATTAATCATTTGATACAGTTTATTCGTACTTTTAAATCTTAATTATATATTACATTTCTCAATTTGCATGTATATTTTCACATTTACTGAACATATATACGAATGGGTTATATAGAGATAACTATGCATATAAAGAGGGTATGAGATGGTGTAATTATCTAATGTACATTTAATAATGACTTAATAATCATATTAATCGAAGAAATAAAATGATATCAGGTTCATCGGGTTGGGTTCAAATGACTGTAACCCACTTCCAATCGAACACCTACTACAAGGTTGAAGATTTTACAACTCAATTAGACATTGAGTTACTTCGGTTGGATTATTTTGCGTTTGGGTTGGGTTGATCAAGTTGGCCTGGTTTTTGAGCACCTATGTGATGAATCATATGCTATTTTATATGATTTTTTTTCATCTACGACTTAGATTTAGGGTTCGTTTAGTTTGCAGGAATGGAATGAAATTGGGGAATTCAGATTTCAAAACATTCCAATCCCGTGTTTCGTATGCAGGATTCTCTGAATTTAAAATCCTAGAATTCTGTTAAAATCCCTTGGAGGTGGTTGGGATTTTACGGGGATTTCATAGGATTTGTATATAATAATGTTTTAAAATATGTTAAAACATCTATTTTCTAATAATTCAGTAATAAAAAGGTAACATAATTATTTTTATAATTATTTATAATTTGTTATTATAAACTATTTATAAAATCTATTCCAAATCTATCAAACCAAACACACCAAAGATTTCAAATCCCACCAATTTCAAATCCTTTGGCAAAATACAAATTTTTCAAAACCATTCCATCAAACCAAACGCCCCCCTTAGTGTGTTGATTGACATAGGTTTGCTTCACATATATTTGTTTTAACATCTAAACATCTTTTATGTGTTTTTGAAACAAAAAATACAACTAAAAAGATTTACATTATGACTCGAATACATATGAAAAAAAAACATATCGTGAAACAAAATTTAAAATTATTTTGAAAAGTTTATATATTGTGACAACTATATAAACTATTATTATGAGATATTGTTTTGATCACATTTTTTTTCCATCTAAGGCTAAAATTTAAAATATTAATTAACCTATATTTGCTTCATGATGTGTTTTTTTCATATGTATTTGGGTCACAATTTTAATCTTTCTAGTTGTACTTTTTGTTTCACAAGTACATAAAAGATGTTTAGATTGTTAAACAAATATATATGAAACAAACATATGTCAATCAACACACTAAGTAGGCGTTTGGTTTGATGAAATGATAAAAAGATCATGTTATCAAAACAATATTTTATGGTAATAGTTCTCATATCGCAATATATAAAATTTTCAAATAATTATAAACACACACACTCTCTCTCTCTCTCTCTCTCTCTCTCTCTATATATATATATATATATATAGGGGAGCGATCAAATGCAAACCACTCAATTTGTACAAACCGTGCAAACTGCATTCAACCAATCATATGTTTTTATTTTGTTCATTTTTTTGTAATTATGAGAGGTTGATTAATCATTTTTATTGTGGATGGTGTTAATCATAGATATTATCATCTTCATTATTTTAATTTTAAAGAAATACATGAAACAGTTTCATTAATTTTAGAGAATTTTATGAAACAGTTTCATTAAGTATTATATGAAACAATTTCACAACCATATATGAAACAACTTCATTAAAAAAGTATTATATGAAACAATTTCACATGATTAAACAATTTCATGAAAAAATTTCATAAGATTAAACAATGAAATCGACGGATGAAGGTGGTTTGCACGGTTTACACAAATGAGTGCGGTTTTCATTTGATCACTCATCTATATATATATATAAGGAAAGGTTCATTTAAATTTGGGAAGTAAAAAAATTGATCATAGCCTTTCATCTAATCAACATTTACGTCTCTGACCGCACCGAATAATTCTTCGCATGAGTATGCGGAAGATGAAATGGTAGTTTCTTAACTTTTGCAAATAAGCGCAAAAGGGTTCATATGTAAACCCATGTGATTCATATATAAACTATATGTTGATATGTGCACCGATTATTTAATTCACATGTGAACTATTTAATTATTCCATATACAAACCAACAAGTTCATATATGAATCACATGAGGTCATATGTGAATCAGTTAAAATGTTCATATTTGAATTATGTGAATCCATTTACCGCCTATATGTAAAAGCTACAAACTACCCCCTCTATTTTTCTCATAGCCGCAATTTTTGACAAGTTGAAATCGCAATTCTTGACCAGTCAAAGCCACAATTATTGACCAATCAAATCCGATTTTGACTGTATCAATGCCTATGATCATTTCTTTACTTCTTAAATGTGTGTGTGTGTGTGTGGAGGTTCAAACGAAAACACCTCCATTTTACGAGAACGCGAGAACACCCTTATCACATGTGATAATATGCGAGAGGGGACCCTGTGATGTGCATACGACGTGTTCTACGACTTAGTCCGCGCCAAAGATTGTCTGCGTCTATGATTTAGCATCGCATATGATGGTCTTGATGGATTATAATATCATATTAACAACACCCTTATCACATGTGATAATACATATGAGGGAGCTTAGTGGTGTAAGGCCGACTTGGCCTGCAACCAATATCGTATTGAAAATCCTTCGCGTCTCTGATTTAGTATCACATGCGATTGTCTATAGTAAAAAGGTGTTCTCGCATTCTCGTAAAATGAATGTGTTCTCGTTTGAACTCTTCCCTATATATATATATATATATATATATATATATGTATGTATGTATATGTGTGTGGGGGGGAGGGGGTTGAATAATCGACTATGTGAATGCTTATAATTGTACTCTGAAAAAA